CAGAACTCGTCCTTGGATCGCTCGGAGCATCCCGTCTGTGGAGCATAGGCAGAAAAATGGTACAGCCGCTGTTCGATAGCAATAACGATCTTCATCAGGCGGTCATCGAAGCGTTCTACGCTTGCTATCGAGTCCCGGAAACGTTGAGAGACTATTACAGCCACTCCGTTGGTGGTTTTTGGTTTGCCACACAAAAGGGCTTTATAGCCTCGACCGATGTCCCTTGACTTGCAACTGGACCATCTTGTTTCCTGCACAGCACACAGGTCTATACGTCTGCGCTCCAGTGCCTCTGCCAGCTCACATGAGCGCCCCGTCAGCGTTCCAACATTCAACGTTGCTACGCGGACCTTCTCCATGTTGCATGACTTTTGAACTAGCCTGGTTGCCCCCGATGCCGTCCTTGCATCAGGGACCCTCGCATACTTTCCACACTCGCCGGGCCATACGAGTGCGCGTCGGCTCCCGCGGACGCCGTAGCATTGATTCGGAATTCACATGGCATATTGAACATTGGGATGTGACTTGGGTGTTCGTAGGCCGGCCCGTCACGAAGGCCTGTCACCTGCTTTCGGTTGTCTGCGTTCTGCAGCTCGCATAGGCGAGATCCAGTGGAACCGCGTGGAGGAGCAGACTTCACCACCATTGTATCTTGGAATCAACACATAGGTGATACTGTGCCCCGCGCTATGAATACTTGTCTTATTCTTCTCGCACCCCTTGTCAGGTCCTTGTCAGCTGATATCATTTTCTGTCACCCACCAATTGTCGAACCCCCTCTATCACTTCTTGGAGCCATTGGATCACCGCTACTAGGATGAGCGCTGTGGATTCTGTGACAAACAGACGAACTCTCACACACATGAGTTAATTTTCCAATGCTATAAGAGAAGTGATGGCTAAAAGAAAGACTTCACACACTCAGCCTCTAATATTTGTCAGTACAGCAGTAAAAGCGCACCAACCAAAGCCCATCAAAATAGTATATACGTCTATTTACGTAATTAGTTGATCGCTGTATGAAAGAACGGCAGAAACTTATTCTCCTTTTCCCTTTCCCAGCCCAGTGTCATTGCTTGTTTCCAAAAATAAAAGCGAATACCATAACTAATGTCTCGCAGGCTCATATGAGGATCCATTACAAGTGGACTGATGAGTGGGTGAAGCTGTGGAGCGCTTTACCGGCCATTCATTGGGCTACTTACAATTAGGTTTCCCCGTAAGTTGTGGAAGTATTTGCGGCTGACTCAAAGAGACGACCGGATAAAGGACGGTATTCCATTGGCACTCTTTCAATGTCTACCAGTCCGATCGCCCGGCGAAGCTGGACAATCGGACTGGTAGACTGGTAGACGACTTCAAGGGACTTTCATCGTTCACATCGCCCATTGTGGACAGAGCCTAGGTTGCGCGTGTGCTCTGCAAAGTGAGCCCATGCCACGTCTATTCCAAGCACAATCAGCTTCTAGAAAGTGAATTTCCACGCAACCCCATTCATCAGGCACTCACAAGGGACACACAAGCAGCTTCTGATTTATATGTAGAGAGATTCCCCCTCCCAATCAGTGAGCGCTAAATGTGGTGCGCACGAAGAGTGCTTTAGCCAGACTTCATAATAAAAATGGTTGTGTCAAATATTCAGTTACTTCTGCCAAACGAGGTTTTTAGATGACACCTTTATTGGCCTAACGTTTCGACCTTCTCGTCTTCTTCAGAGGCCTGAAAATGGCTCGAAGCTTTTAATTTGTTACCTACCCGACCAAACGCCCTCCCCACTCTAGCGTTTCCGACCTCGTTTCCCAAACGCTTCCCAAAAACCCGGTAATGAGTCCTAACAACTCACCGAAGGTATCACCGTGCGGAGCTCAGCTCACGCAGTGTGTTAGTTGAACCAGTAAGGACGAATGAGACTCACTTGTGTCTCACTGTGTCGCAAAATTGTTATAGCGCACGTAGTCCTTACTGTAGCTCGCACTCTGATACAAACGGCAGGAATTCATTTGTAATAGCCAGACACTCGTTTCGGTTGTTCATTCTTGGTTTTCTCGCGAAAATCCAGAATGATTCCAGAACTTTCCTAGCTGAAGTTTCCGTCTCGTACGCCAGTATAACACATTTAACATCAAAGTCGTTCCCGTTATGCTGCTCCATCTTATGCTTGCCAAGGGAGTGGTACTGTGCGTACTGCGTAGGCGTTTGTACCCCTTTAGTGGTGTACACCCTATCACCGCTGTGAGGTGGTACATGATAGGGATAGTTAGCCTACCGGAAAAAAACGAAGTAAAACGGTTACTTTGGTTTTTGGTTTGGTTACTTCTATACTTTACTAACTTTGGTTAATACGAACTATTAGGTTGTCCGGAAAGTTCTCAGCGTTTTGAGTGTTTCACTTTAAACGATCATAACTTTCTTAATACTCATCGGATTTAATCGAAATAGGCACCGTTCGAATCAGCACACTTTTGAACTGTTTGGGATGGGTCAGCCTCCACAAACGCCTTCAAATCCTCGTCAGGTATTGCTTTAGGTCGACCGCTACGAGGTTCACCTTCAAGGCTGAAATCTCCAGAACGAAATTTGTTGAACCATTGCCGCACAGTGCTTTCTCTAGCACTATTGGGCCCCCACACCTGGTTAATTTGTTGAGCTGTTTTGCGGATTGCCCCAATTTATAGTCGAAGAAAAAATCGTCCGAAGTGCTCTTTTCACATGCTTGAAAAAATCTTGAAAAAAGGGGTTTATCAAGCAATGGTGAAACGGC